ATAGATAGATGGAGAGATAGATAGATAGATAGAGAGATGGAGAGAGAGAGAGATGGATGGAGAGATGGATGGAGAGATAGATAGATGGATAGAGAGATGGAGAGATAGATGATAGAGAGAGATGGATGGAGAGAGATAGGATAGATGGAGAGATAGATAGATGGATGGAGAGATGGATGGAGAGATAGATAGATAGATGGATGGAGAGATGGGTGAGAGAGATATATAGATGGATGGAGAGATGGATGGAGAGATGGATGGAGAGATAGATAGATGGATGGAGAGATGGATGGAGAGATATAGATGGATGGAGAGATGGATGGAGAGATGGATGGGGTAGATAGATGGAGAGAGATAGATAGATAGATAGATGGATGGAGAGATGGGTGGAGAGATAGATAGATAGATGGATAGATAGATAGATAGATAGATAGATAGATAGATAGATAGATAGATAGATTATGGCATTGGATCAAGGTGGTCCTTGGCTGATTGCTATTTGGCCTCAGAGGTGGATGGTGCTGTCGGACGCTTTATGTGTCCTCTCTGATGGACCTCTTCAATATGGCCGCGATAACGTGACATCAGACATCATGACGTGGGACATGTTGACGTACGTTGATGGTGCGGGCTGCGCATGTGCCCTACGGCCAGAACGCCTGCAATTTGACGCTTTTTGGTGTGCTATATAAGATCGATACAATCATAATGTGAAATGAAAAAATGCTGCGCTACATGAAACAATGGCACAATCCATTATATAACCAAAAAAACACAGTGACAAAATAAAAAATATATATATTAGAAGAAAAAATAGAAAAAATATTAATATTGAAATATATATATATATATATATATATATATTTCAATATTAATATTTTTTTAATATTTTTTCTACTTTCTTCTACATTATACAATGTTGCGGTCTAACTGCACTTTTGGTCCCATATGGACTCAGAAGATCAGCTTGCTGGATGAAGACTCCAAAATAACCTCCCTCGTTCCAGAGGTGTATCTTGCACCAGGTATGATGAAGATCCAGTGATGTACTGATTAAACACAAGATGGCAGTATCATTTCAGCAGCAGAGTCCTGTGCATGCTCAAAACAGACACCATCGGTATTGTAATGCAAGGCAAAGCACGAGCCCACTTAATGAACGCTATTGCCTGCTGTAATGTCGTTGCAAGAGCCGTTTGTAGAGTACTACAAGCCACTATCCTGATGAATGGCAACATCGTGACGTCATCCGCACACTCCACCCCGACGCATTTCGTCACTAGTCACGTGACTTTATCAAGGGATAAGATTGGACTGTCCGACAATCAATCAATTTATATAGTAAACTGGTGCCATTTTGTTGTGGACCGGCCTAGCACAAGGTGGAAAAGTTGATTGGCGCCATTTTAATGAAGACCAAACAAGGAAAAAAAGAGCATGCCAAACAACAAATGCCGTTCATTAATAAATAACACAGGATCTGTATTGCATGAGGTCAATAAGATCCCATGTTATTTATTAATGAAACTACAAGTCCCGTCACGCTTCTGCCTTTCGGTGTCATGCTTGTAACTGTCAATCTTTCAATGTCTCATGGGGCTTGTAGTTTGGCAACAGCTGGAGGACTGCCGTTTGACACCCGTGGTATAGGCAGTGAGTTCATGGCTATGCCTCTGGAGAGGACCTTTATTCTTGTTGATGCCAAATGCATTTGCTCTGGTTGGGGCCTTCTGGCTGGGAAGTACTTTTGGTTATGGTATGTACTTTATTGATATCCATATACTGTACATATATATATATATTCCCTTATTTTGGGAAAGTTGGAATAAAATGTATAACACTTTGGAGCAAAGTAGTTTGGGAAATGAACATTTGATATATACCCAGTCTATATTTTCTTTATATATAGAATATCTCTTTGTTGTCCTGAATTAATAGCTGGGGTTTATATAACCAGCTTGGGGAGTACGGGTATGGTTTGTGTGCTTTGGGACATAATAAATATTTGAATGTTTTGATTTTTTTCAGCTTTAAATATGGATATGCGGTTTGTTCATTTGGAGCACTTCTGCACCTCTGATTGAGGGATCCCTTCCTCTTGGATCCAATGTTCATGGTTCTTACTGACTTTCTACAAACGTATCGATGCCATCATTGGGTAAATGTAAAACATTTGTTTGTTATAAAATTTTTATTTCCTCTCAATATGCTGTATGCTTAGCCTTGTTTATATAATTTTAGAATCATATATTATATCTCCTTGAGGAAGTGGGCTATTGTCCCGCGAAACGCGTCGGAGAAAGAACGGAAGTACTAATTTGGAGCTAACATGTCAACTGTGGTTCTTATGTTACCTAAGGTTATGCCTTGTAATGTTATGTGCTGAACCTGTTTGTTATAAGCACTACATGCTTTTTATGATGAGCTTTGTGATTGCTCAAATATCACCACCACAACTGTGGTTTTAACTTTGTCAATAACGTTGTACTTTTTATTTTTTGAGTATATATTTATTTCTTGGTATGGTGCCTCATAAAGTCCCATTAGGTTTTTCTAGTTAGGCTTTTTAGATTTTTCAGTGTCCTGTCAATAAGGGGTGGGGCACCACTAAAACTTGCTAACAAGGGGTGAGACCTTATTATGGGCCTCCTCTCTCCCCCTCCCCCCATTACTAATGTTATACACAGTAGAACTCTAGACTGTAGACTGGGAAAGGGAAGGCCAGCACTATGGTCCAAATCTTAACCCAAAACTTAATAATTACCCAAACTTTGGTCCTAATTCAGATCCTAACCCAGACCTTGGTCCTAACTCAGATCCTAACCCAAACCTTGGTCCTAACTCAAATCCTAACCCAAACCTTGGTCCTAATTCAGATCCTAACCCAAACCTTAGTCCTAACTCAAATCCTAACCCAAACCCTTACCAAATCCAAACCCTAACCCAAACCTTAGTCCTAATTCAGATCCTAACCCAAACCTTGGTCCTAATTCAGATCCTAACCCAATTCTTGGTCCTAACTCAAATCCTAACCCAGACCTTGGTCCTAACTCAGATTCTAACCCAAACCCTTACCCAAATCCAAACCCTAACCCAAACCTTGGTCCTAATTCAGATCCTAACCCAGACCTTGGTCCTAACTCAAATCTGACCCAGACCTTGGTCCTAACTGCGATCCTAACCCAAACCCTTACCCAAATCCAAACCCTAACCCAAACTTTAGAAACAAAACAGAATAATTTCCTCCATCTAAGTGCAGCTTTATTGCAGTTAAAAACAAATAATAAGCAGTAATGCACGCAATGCAAAAACATGGGAATCCAGCATGTAATAATACGTTATCCCTCAGTCCCAATGAAGAAACGAAACCCGGTGCCGAACTGCAGAGTTCCTCAGGAATGCGGTAATACAGAGTCATGCCAGGAAGCTTCCCTATGGAGCTCTGCAGTTCGGGGCTGGGACTGAGGGATGATGTATTATTACAACCTGGCTTCCTATATTTTTGCAGTGAGTGCAATCCTGTTTATTATTTGTTTGAAACTACAATAAAGCTGCATTTAGATGGAGGTGCCCTCTTCTGTTTTATTTCTAAATGTGCACTAGAGTTACTCAAGACCCATGTAAATGAGGATCTGCATCCATCATCAAATACTAATACGTTGGCATTTCCCAGAGACTTTTGACATTTAAATTAATGACAGGTTGGACTGTTTACACTCAATTTTGTGCCATTTACTGTTCCAATAACCCAAACTTTGATCCTAACACCTTGGTCATAACTCAGACCCTTACCAAAATACAACCCATAACCCCAAACTTAATCCTAACTAAAACTCTAACCCAAGAACAAACCCTATTCCAAACCCTAACCTAAACCATAACCCTAACCCCTACTCTAACACAAACCTAAACCCCAAACCAAATCCTATCCCTTACCCATTTGGAAACCCTAATCCAAACTCTAACCCAAAACTTTGAGCCTAACCCAAAGTCTAATGCTACCCCAAACCTTAACCCTTATCTTAACCCAAGAGCATAATAAGAGACCAATCTCTAATCTTAATCTTAACCACAACCCTAACCTAAAATGTATCCCAAAATCTAATACTAGCTCAAACCTTAACTCTTATCCCATCCCAAGCCCAAACCTATGCTCAAACCTATACCCTAACTCAAGACCAATCTCTAACCCTAATCCAAACCATAATCTAGACCTTAACCAGAATGTAAACCTTAACCCAAGGCAAAACCCTAATTCACACCCTACCAGGGGCGGACTGACCATTCGAGCACTCGGGCACTGCCCGAGGGCCCGGGGTCAGTAGGAGGCCCCATGAAATGCCTCTGGCACCTTTTTTATAGGCTTTTTGGGTGTGCTTTGAGTGTGGGCAAGGACACAGGGGATCCCCTATGCCCGGGGGCCCCATGAGTTGTCAGTCCACCCCTGCACCCTACCCTAAACCCTAGCTCAAACTCTAGTGCTAACCCAAACCTTAACACTTATCCTAACCCCAGCCCACACTCTTACCCTAAACCAAGTCCAACTTCTAACTCTAATCCAAACCTTAACTTTAATCCCAAACCTAAACCAAGCCTTAACCCTAACATAAACTTTAGCACAAACCATAATCTAACCCAAAACTTAACCATTTTTGGCCACTCATGACTAATGTAGAATAGATGTACTATCTAAAAACCATAGTTACTTAACCACTTGCCTACCAGGCACTTATACCCCCTTCCTTACCAGGCCAATTTTCAGCTTTCAGCGCTGCCGCACTTTGATTGACAATTGCGCGGTCATGCAACATTGTACCCATATGAAATTTTGATCATTTTTTTCTCACAAATAGAGCTTTCTTTTGGTGGTATTTAATCGCCACTGGGCACTTTACTTTTTGCGCTATAAATAAAAAAGTGCAAAAAATTTGAAAAAAAAAAAAAGTTTATTTGTTTCTTTTATAAAATTTTTCAAACAGGTATTTTTTCTCCATCACTGATGTGCGTTGATGAGGCAGCACTGATGGGCACTGATAGGTGGCACTGATGGGCACTGATAGGCAGCACTAAAGGGCACTGATAGGCAGTACTAATGAGGTGGCACGGATAGGCGGCACTGATAGACAGCACTAATTAGGGGTCACGGATAGGCGGCACTGATATGCAGCACTGATAGGCGGCACTGATAGGTGACACTGATTATGGGTACTGATAGACGGCACTGACTGGCATCACTGCTGGGCACTGACTGGCGGCACTGACTGGCACAACCCCTGGGCACTGACTGGTGGCACTGACTGGCAGCACTGCTGGGCTGCACTGGTGGGTGGCACTGGTGGGCAGCACTGGTGGGTGGGCACAGATGGGTGGCACTGGTGGGCACAGGTGGGTGGCACTGGTGGGCACAGGTGGGTGGGCACAGGTGGGTGGCACTGCTGGGCACATGTAGGTGGCACTTCTGGGCACAAGTAGGTGGCACTGCAGAGTGGCACAGGTGGGTGCACTGCTGGGCACAGGTGGGGGCACTGCTGGGCACAGGTGGGGGCACTGCTGGGCACGGGTGGGCGGAGCTAGTGGGCGCACTGCTGGGCGGAACTTGCGGGTGTCACTGCTGGGCACCGATCATCAGGGCACTGATCATCAGTGCCCTGATGATCGGTGCCGATCCCCGCTCTGACAACTGCCGGTTCTCGGCAGTACTTTCCTCACGATCTGACAGCGTGAGGAAAGTGCAGCCGAGAACCGGCACTTGCATTTCCCTGTGATCAGCGTGTCATTGGACACCGCTGATCACGTGGTAAAAGGCCGGTATGATCGGCCTTTTACCACATCTCGTGATCAGCTGTGTCCGTAGGACACAGCGATCACGGAGATCGCCGGGTGTGCGCCCCCTGGGGCGCGCAGGAGAGCGCGTTCTGGGGGGACGTCATATGACGTCCACCCAGAACTGGCCGGCCGCAGTGCAGCCGTCATTCGGCTATCTGCGGTCGGCAGGTAGTTAAGCATACCCCTACACAAAACTCTCTCCCTCTCTCACTACACCTCCCCCTCCCCCGCACAGCTCTAATTATACCAATGAAGGAGACCAAACCACAGTTGGAGTAAAATGGCTATCACGGCCTTTTGTTAACAAATCAACTTAAATAACACAAAACATTCCAGAAACATAACAGTAAAGTTGTTAGAAGGCACAAAACAATACCGTTATCCCCCTGCGGAACCTTAACCATAATATTAATACTAGGCCGCAATGCACCGGCTCGGAGACAAAACACACAATCCACAGTGCACAACCTCCACCTTCCAGTTAAACCTCGGTTAACCGGAATGCACCCGTGAACACCATACCACCGATGGCCCCAACCATTCACTTTAGCTTCAAATTATTTGCCTCCTCCAAAGACCAACAAACTGCCCCAGAGTCAGAACAAAAGACCAAAAACAAAACCCCAAGGGAGGGTGGGAGGGAAGTTTTTTCTTCCACTGCCACTCCTGTACAGGATCGTCCAACCCTACACCACTCCAAAGGTGCCAAAGACTCACCCCACATTACTAATCACCAATCAGGTAAGCCTACATTGTTTACAACCTTCCCGCCTATCCTCAACCCTTTTTTGTCTGTCCTACCCTATTCACCTAGTTATGTCTGCCCTCCACTATTTTTTTTTTTTGTTTTTTGCTACGGGCTCCGCTTTTCATTTAAAATGTTTCCTTTTCAGAATGTTCAAGTCAAAAGAATAAATCTTTCAGAGTATCGCTTAGCAACAATTAATATTTCTAAATGTTCTCTACGAGATCTATGAAAATCTACACCTTTTGAACTGAGCTTCACTTTAAGGAGCACAACTTAAATCAGGTAATTTAAATGCTTACAGTATTTTTCTTTACATAAATACTTTTTCTTCATTTCCCAATGTGCCTTTGAATTTTCTAGGGAATTTGACTACTCCTTGAAGAGTTGAGTCCCCCACAAAGCTATGGTTCTCCTTTCCTTATGCCATGTCATAGTCTACCTCTCTACTGGGAGTGTCTAATTAACATCCGTGCTGGCCCAGATCCTCCGCTTTTCCTTTATCACCTTACGTAACCTTCTACATAGCAGCCAGGGATGTGAAGGTGAATACTACAGAGCAGTACTCTCCAGATGTGGTCCTTTGCCCTTGGGGCACAATTTCTCCCTCCGACGCTAACGATGGTCCATTAGTCCTCCCATTGATACCAACAAATGGGCACTATTCTTTCCATTATTACTAATGATTGTCATTTTATACTGACCACAGTCTGGCCCCCCTAAAGTCTAAAGAACAGTAAACTATCCCTTTAATTAGAAAGATTGGAGACCCCTGCTATAGAGTATCACTAGAAAGACAGCTCTGAATCTGCTGGTACGACTGACATGACATCCAAGATGGCGGTGTCCAGCAGCAGTCTCAAGGAGAGCCCTTTGCAAGTGAATAACATGCATAAAATATACAAAATTCCCATAGGAAGATTGTTGTTAAAATGAATGATCTGATGATAGGGTCACTTTATTAATTGAAACTCATTATTACAAACAAACTCTTTAACTCCTTGCCCTCAAGAGGATTTAACCATGACCAGGCCATTTTTTGCAATACAGCGCTTCGTTACATTAACTGACAATTGTGCAGTCATGCAACGCTTCACCCAAATGAAATTTATGTCCTTTTTTTCCCCGTAAACTTCTTTCTTTCGATGCACTATAAACAAAAAAAGACCGACAATTTGGAAAAAAAAACCCCAATATTTTTGACTTTTTGCTATAAAACATGTCCAGTAAAAAAAATTGAAAAAATCAAATTTCATCATAAAATTAGGCCAAAATGTATTTTGCTACATGTCTTTGCAAAAAAAAAAAAAAAAAACAATACGTGTAATTAATTGGTTTACGTGAAAGTTATAGTGTCTACAAATGGTGGTGGCGATCAGTGACTTTTAGCAGGACTGCGGCGGCATTCTGACACTGGGGGGGGAACTGACTAACTGTCACTGACATCTCCAGTGACACTAATTCTGACACAAATTCTAATTCATCCCCAGTGACACTAACTGTGTGCTGCTTTACTATGTGTGCTGTGTGTGTTTTACTATGTAAACATGCTGCTTTGTATGGCTCTGCTATGTAGAGCCATACAAAGCAGCATGCTGGTGATGACAGGAGAGAGATCTGTTTAGTTTACATACAGACCTCTCGCCTATTAGTGTTCCTCAGCAATCACTGGGTGCAGGAGGGAAATCTCCGGCCGGGACCCGGTGATCGGCAGCTAAAGCCGCCAATGGCGGTGTGGGTAGGGCGGCGTGCCCCCTACCGGAAAATGCAAAATCACATATATATACACAGGGGCGGACTGACAACTCATGGGGCCCCCGGGCAATAGGGGATCATGGGGCCCCTGTGTCCTTGCCCAAACTCAAAAAAGCCTATGAAAAAGGTACCTGGGGCATCTCATGGGGCCCCCTACTGACCCCCGGGCCCTCGGGCAGTGCCCAAGTTTCCAAACAGTCATTCCGCCCCTGTATATACATGATTTTGCGCAGCCCTGCAGCAGTAGTTCTGCTATAGGGCAGTAGGGAAGTGGTTAAACAGTAGTCAAGGCAATAGCTTAAAGTTCTAACGTTTCATTTTTTTTTTTTGTTAAATAACAAAGATTTCTATACTTCCCTGCTGTATGCTGTGGTTTTGCACAGAACAGCCTAGATCCTCCTCTTATCGGGTCCCGTGCAGGCTCTCCTGGCCCCTCCCTCCTGTCGGGTGCCCCCACAGCAAGCAGCTTGCTATGGGGACACATGCTGCTCTGTGTGTCCATTCAAACACGGATCGCGGCTTGGTCCTGCCCCCCTCTCTCTCTTCATTGGCTGACTGGCTGTGAACGACAGCAGTGGGAGCCAATGGCAGAGACCCGGGAGGAGGCAGAGACCCAGGACAGCCGAGGCTGTCGTTCACAACGTTGTATCGCGATGAGGCTCAGGTAAGTATTGAGGAGGCTGGGGGAGCTGCTGCACACGGAAGGCTTTTTACCTTCATGCACAGAATGCATGAAGGTAAAAAAAACCTTCAGCCTTTACAACCACTTTAATGACGCTTTCAACACTTGCTAATAAAAACGGCCTTACCGGGAGTGGTGTTAAATGAATTTATAAAAACATATCGGGCCAGGAAAGGTGAAGGTCCAGATGGTTGAACGTTCTTGTGGATTTAACGAATTTCTTTTTTCTCGGCCACTTGCCAACTTGCCCTATTCTTGAAAGGTTTGATTAGAAGGCTTGACAGTTGCGGCGGAGACTGTCTACAGCTACAGGTTTCCGCCAAAGTGTTTGACCTTTTCTTGGCATGGTGGGAGCATCTGATTAATACAGCCAGACCGATACAATGCGGAAAGTACGCATTATCAGTAGACGAATGGGCCGGAGCTGCCAGACTGTGGGTTGATGGGTTCAAATGCCATGTACCCACCGACACGCTGAAATCCAAGAGGAGGAAGGGTCAGCACAGGATAGGGAAGGAAGTGCAAATTAATTTAGATACAAATGGAACAGTTATAGACTTGGATGTATTACACATTATGGTACTATTCATTATCTTGCTGCTATTTTATGAACTGGCCACTTCACGGTGTCTTTTGGGAGTAATTTGTCTGCTCGTGTCTCTGTCTTACAATAGTGCTCCATAGCAGATTCTGCCTGTTCTGTTTCAAATCCTGCTTTATGCATTTACTTACCTCCTTAAACTCAGTCTGTCCAGACAGTATGGTCACCTGTTGTCTTGGCACCATCCACAGGCAGCTTAACCACTTCCCGTCCGACCCATGTAGATAAACAGCTGGACGGGAGCGCTACCGAAGTGGGTGGATGTTTATAAACGCCCCCCCCCCCACGACTATTGCCTGTGTGCGCTCCCTGGGAGCGCACGGCACCGCGCTGTACAGGACCTCTGTGTGAGGTCCCGATTCATGTGATCACTGATTGGCAAACCAGTGATCACATGAATAGTAGTACACAGGGGCGGACTGACAACTAATGGGCCCTCCGGGCAATAGGGGATCATGGGGCCCCTGTGGCCTTGCCCAAACTCAAAAAAGCCTATGAAAAAGGCACCAGGGGCATCTCATGGGGCCCCCTACTGACCCCGGGCCCCCGGGAAGTGCCCGAGTTTCCATATGGTCAGTCCGCCCCTGGTAGTATGCAAGATGTCAGTTCCTGACATCATTGCTTACTACTAGTAAAATATGTGAATGATCACAGAGATCACATGGTACAAGGCTATTCACAACAGCCCTGTATCATGTGACAAGCTGTGACCAATCACAGCTATCACGGTATTTCTCAATGGCTGCAAGAATGCAGCCAGAGAGGAGAAATTATTGCTTTTACAGCCTTTATGGGTATAAAAGCAATCAGTGTAAAAAAAAAAAAAAAAAATCTTCATCAATCCCCACAAGTAGTACAATGTCATTATGGTGACACTGTACTGCTAGGGTGACAGTATGTTAAAAAAAACATAAATAATATTTAAAAAAAATAAAAATGTAAACACATTTTTTGAAAAATTATAATTTTTGGTTATAAACTAATTTGAGTTATCTTTTTTTTTTTTTTACTAAAAAGATAGCTGAATACATCTTGGCCAAGATTTATGAAGAAATACGTATTTGCAAAATTTGATAAGAAAAACGTGTGGACTTTTTCATTTATATAGCAAAAAAATAAAAATCCCAGTGGTGAATAAATACCACCAAAATAAAGTTTTATCTGTCTCAAAAAATAATAAAAAATTCATATGGGTACAGGAAAAATTGGCTGAAAATTGGCCTGGACAGGAAGTGTCCGGACTGGGTGTTAAAGTGGTTATAAAAGTTCAAGGTTTTTTACCTTTATGCATCCTTTGCATGAAGGTAAAAAACCTTCTTTGTGCAGCATTCCCCTCAGACCCCTAATACTCATCTAAGCCCCCTTCTTGATCCAGCAATGTGCACTAGGGTCCTGGATATCCTAGGACTCCCTCTTCTCATTGGCTGAGACAGAAGTGGGAGCCATTGGCTTGGTCAATCACAGCCAGTGAGCCAAGAAGAAGTGAGAGATGGTGGGTGCCAATAAATGTATGGACACACAGAGCAGCAGGTGCCCCCATAGAAAGCTGCTTGCTGTGAGGGCACCCTATAGGAGGGAGGGTCCAGGAGCGGTGGTAGAGGACTCGGGAAGGATACAGGCTGCTCTGTGCAAAACTACTGCACACAGCAGGTAAGTATAGTCATGTTTGTTATTTTTTTCTTAAGTTGCAGTACAGAAAATGTTTTTTTCAGTCTTTTAAAGCGTAAGAAGGCAATGGCTTTCCTAAGCCCTGTCTCTGTGAAGTATTAAATCTGACAGAGGGAACATGGAAGAAATGGTGAATGTCCTGCTAGGACTGAACTAACTAGCACTAAACAGGAGGGGAGGACAGAGGGAGAAACCAAATTCATATAGTAAACAAGTTGTAGTAGCCCACAATTCTGCACTAGATGTCAGCTTCCTACAGAACAATGAAAACCCAGTGCAGTTCAACAAATTACAAAACAAAATACACAATACAAGTGGAACAAAACACTTCATAAAGGGTGATTTTTTAAAAATATTCTACACAGATGTTTAAAGACATTGCTCTATAGGATTACTAAACCCCAGACCCTGCATTCACTATATCCAGTTTCCCAGGACCCTGCATTCAGTATATCCGGTCTCCCCGGACCCTGCATTCACTATATCCGGTCTCCCCGGACACACAACATGGAAATGCAATTATTTTAGTAAATATAAACTGCTAAATACCTTTTCTCATCAGCAATTAGAGCAGTCTTGTGACTTCAGCAGAGCACTGGTTAAAGTTTGTAGGAGGAGTTTTCTGTTTCAATATTTTTATTAGGAAAGTTTTGTTTTTGAGAATATAACAAGCTCAAAATACGCCCTCGCAGGGGCAGAGCAAACAATAACATATAAATGGAGACATCTTGCTTACTTGTATTAGTCAAATAACAAAATGTCCAATGACATTAAGAAGGGACAGCAAAAAGCCGAGCCAAATAGCAGCAGTAATCCAACATAATATCGGAAAAAAAAAAAAAGAGAAAAGAAGAAAGATTAGAAGAAAAAAAAAACTATTAAAGAAGAAAAACTACAGGGATCATGGATCCGGGGCTAGCACCGACAGCAACTATAGGAGGCCATAACTAGTAGGAGGCAGGGATGGCAGGGAATAATGTATCCAAGGTTCCCAAACCTTAAGGAATTTCAGGAGAGAATCATGAAGAATGCTAGACATCTGTTCATTGATCAACATATCATTCATCCGGGTCTTCACCCCCTGGAAGATTACCGAAGGGGTTCTCCAAGCTTGAGCTATAGCACGTTTGGCCGAAATGAATAGGTAGAATGCCAATTTCTGTTGAGACCTAGACAGACCCAAAATTGGGCAATGCAGGAGGGCCACCTTTGCATCCCTACAGACCGTAATATGAAATAGCGTTTGTAGCAAACCAAAAACCCTAGACCAGAAGCCTATCAATCGCGGGCACGACCACCAAATGTGCAAGATATCCCCGTGTAGACCACAGTTCCGGAAATACCTATCTCCACCAGTCGGATTAAAGTGAGCAGTCCGAGCCGGGACCCAGTACCACTGCAGTAGAACTTTGTAGGCTGCCTCAAGAGTGACTGTATTGAATGAACATTTCGCCACCGTCCCCCAGGCCCTACGCCAATACTCTGCCGCAATCGAAAAACCCAGATCTCGCTCCCATTGAGAGACATAGGAAAGGGGTGATGAGGAAGACCTACTGTTAAGGGAGGCATAAATTACAGAAATGAGACCAGGGGACCCTGGGGAATGCTGACAAGCGTGTTCAAAGGGTGTTTTGTGGTAAGGATATGTAGAGGTACGATGGAGGGATAGGACCCAGAGGTGCAAGTGCAAATACTGATAATATTCCTGTGGCGGGACCCCCCTTGATTCTCGAAGAGACTCCCAAGATGGAAGCGTACAAGCGCTCAGAAAATCGCATACAATAACAAAGCCATGGGAGGTCCACCAAGAGAAAGAAGGGGGATGTTCTAGGCCTTGTGGAAATAAAGGATTATGCGTGACCGGCAAAAGAGGTAAAAATGACAAAATCAAATTACCCAAATATTTTACAGAATCCCAGGTTCTCAAACTGTGAAGCATGATAGGGCTCAAATCCGGAGGGCGCAACTTAGGCGGAAGCCAAACCAATGTACTTAAGGAAAGCGGAGAACAGTTGGGTAATTCCAAGAGTACCTATAATGGGATATCTGTCGTGGCATGAAGCATAGACAACTGGGAAATCTGAGCCGCCAAATAGTATCTAGAAACGTGTGGAACTCCCAAACCTCCCTGTAATCTAGGAGTATAGATAGTAGCTCTAGGCACTCTGGGACATTTATGAGCCCAAATAAAACTGAGAATCCGGCTCTGTAGTACACGAAGAAAAGACGCAGGGACATAAATAAGAGAGTACGGAAAAAGTACAGGATCTTCGGCAGGATATTCATTTTAACAGCATGTATCCGTGATAAAGAAGGAAACTGCAAAGAATGAAGTAACAGAGCACAGTAAGGGTATCAGCCGAAAATAAGGCAGAGTAGGAGCGAGTAAGTGTAACGCCAAGATAAGCCAGAGAATGGGATGCCCAATGGTAGGGAAATGCAACCGTTCAACCAGGTCAGCAGGGAGTGTAATATTCAATGCTGTGGTTTTAGACAAATTGATGCAAAGGCCAGATATAGTCGAAAAACAGTCCAATATGACCTGGAGATTGGGGAGAGTGATGAGAGGATTGGTTAAAACTAAAAGGGCATCATCCGCATAAAAGTTGGCCTTGTATTGAGCGCCGGCATATGGGACACCAGAAATATCTGGGTGATTTCGAAGCTGCAGCTAAAGGTTCAAGAGTGAGAACAAAAAGAGCAGGTGATAATGGGCATCCCTGTCTCGTGCCCCTGAAAATAGGGAAGGATGAGGAAAAAAAACCTGCATATTTAACAGAGGCCGAGGGAGACGAATATAAAGCTGAGATCCAAGCCAGGAATGCGTCACCAAACCCCCATCTAGACAGCTTATATGTCAAATATTCCCAAGAAAGTGAATCAAACACTTTATAAATGTCTAGGGATAAAAGAAACCCTAGTATCTTGCGGCGATGTAAAATATGAATGAGATGGATGACTTTACGGATGTTATCAGCAGCTTGTTGCCTCGGAACGAAGCCAACCTGATCTCGATGAATAAGTGAGAGTAGATTCTTATTAATTCGGGTGCTCAGAATCTTTCCCAGAATCTTCAAGTCCACATTTAGCAGCGAGATCGATCTGAAAGCTTGCAGGTCAAAGGCATCTTCAGCTTTCTTAGGGATCATAGTAATATGCACTTGAAGAGACTCCAAAGAAAGCCGAGAACCCTGCTTCAAAGAATTGAAAAAGGCCATCATATGAGGAACCAGAACAGTGGCAAATTTTTTATAATAGAGCCCAGAAAACCCATCTGGGCCTGGAGCTTTGGAGGCCTTCAAAGATTTGATGACTTGGTAGAGTTCAGATTCAGAAATATCCACATTCAGGGCATCTCGGGCTGCGTCAGATAAAGAGGGTAGGCGTAGCTCAGGAAAAAAGCTATCAGCATGTTCAGCAACAAAGGTGTTCTGTTTTTGGTAAAGAGAGGACAAAAAATCTGCAAATCTATGAGTAATCTTCACAGGGTCTGAGCTAAGGCCACTGCCCCTCATGTGGAGTTGAACAGGTTTATGCGTGCGACCAAGCGAATTAAGTTTCTTGGCAAACATTGGCCTCGGTTTATTGGCGCATGTATAAAACCTATCTTCGGCCCAACGTAAGGCCTTCTCAGCTCATGTAGTGGAGAGAAGATCAAGTTTAGCAGCCACCACATCTCGAGCTTTCCTATTGGCCGTAGTCGGGCAGGCTTTCCAAGTAGTGTCCACCACGGCCAATCTCGAGGTCAATTCCAACATCTTCTTCTCTCTGGCCCATTTCCTGGACAAGGCAATTTGAATCAGATGACCCCTAATGGTAGCTTTGTGAGCCTCCCACAGAGAAATGGCCGAGGAAACAGAACCCACATTGTCCGTAAAATAGGATTGAATGTGTGAAAGAACCTGGGAGAAAGAAGCCTGAGTGGT